AGGGCACAATTTTGTTATAAATTTATAAAAATTTAAGCATGTTTGATTAATGTTTAATTACGAGTTGAACTATTATACTGTTTATTCATTAGTGTATTTATATTAAATAATAATTTAAATAAAATATAATTTTTAAAATAAATTAAATTAATAATTCTCTGCAAAATGTCGTCCAAACCGAGAATATTGCGCTCAAACATACCGATGCTCGATGTACAGGAGCCCACTGTCGGTGAATACGTGTGGAATAAAATTAGTTCATTTGATACTGGGTCAATTTGTTTAGTAAGTTTTTATTTTAAAAAGTAATTATATTTATATTTTTTGTTGTAATAAATAGATAGATGCGGTAACCGATGAGCACTTGACTATCGGTGCCCTAAAACGGCTGTCCCATAGCATAGCTGTGGCCCTAATTAACAGAGGGATCACCACAACTGATCGACTCGTATACTCGGGTGAAAACTCTATAGAACACACTGTCCTACGATTTGTAGCCATGTTTCTGGGTCTACCCATATGTCCGTTAAGTCCCACATTCGAGGCCTACGAAGTGGAACAGGAGGTCACTTCCATGTCGGCCACTGTAGCCATAACCTCAACCCAAGACTTAGCGAAATTCAAACGTGTCTTACAGTCGGCCAACAATACGATAAAACTTGTGGTTATATTCAACACAACACGTGATACACACGTGAATGAACAGCACGTAACGTATGAACAACTCGTGGATGAGGGCAGGGATCAGACGCTGAAGACTATCCCGTACTTTATGGTTGACCCTAATGTGGACCCATACCTTCTGATACACACATCCGGCAGCACCGGTAGACCAAAGTGTGTTATATTAAAACATAAATCAATGTTGCATCTGCTAAGTGAGCGTGGTCACTTTCTTGATCCCGGTGCTGGTGTCAGTGACCACGTGGTAGCCATGCCCTACCCTATGGGACATATTAGCGGGTCGTCCATTTTGCCTCTACAGCTATGTCTGGGCGTAAAACTAATCATTTATAGTGACTTCACGGTTGACCTACTGTTCCGGTCTAT